AGGGAAAGATGCTTGTATTCCTGTTGCCTGAAGCTTTGTCTCCTTTCTTTTTCTAGGCCTCCAATTCAGCAAGAACTGAGCAATCCCATTTTAAAATGTTCAGCCTGAGGATGGTCTGGGATGCTGTGTCTGTTTCCAGGATCACACAAAGCCAACTCTCAGGTTTCACAAAGGTATGTGGGAAAGGTCCAGCAGGAAAAATGGCAACTTGAGCTCCAGAAATAAAAGCCACCGTAGCACACTGCACCACAGACTCTCCTTTGACATTGGCCCTTCTCATCTCAAAAACTTAGTTCCCCAACTGTAAGATGGAGACAGCAACACTGCCCTAACTCACGTTAAAGGAAGATAAATACAGTCATAAACATGAACTGCCTCAATTCTGTAGCAATGGGACCCCTCCTGAGAGCAGAAAATTGCTATTTCCTTTAGTTCCCCTGTAGTAAGTCTGCACAATCACATGCTATCCTATTGTGCTACCAGATAATTTTGTAGCAATTTCCTCTCTTAGACATTTGACTTCACTGTAAGCCAGTTTAATAGCCTATAGATATTAACATGATCCCTTATTTACAATAATGGGACCTTGTAGCTACTGTAGCTTACAGATGCAATTTATTACAGGATGTTACCACAATCCGCAGGCTACCAGAAAACGTTATGTCTGGTTGTTACAAATGCCATTTTCCTTGTTTAGATAATAAAATAACCCTTTAAATGATTGAGATTTTTCCTTCTTCTGAACATCTGTGAAAATTAATCTTACTTTAAAAGCCTCCTTTTCCCTTGTGGTAATGAAAGCCTCCATATATCTTGTTTTTAAAGGCATGCCCTTTAAAAAACCCTACGTCATGATTATAGAATTTGAATCTGTGAGTTCCTGAAGCTTCAGCTGGAGTCAACAGGTATCTGGGGCACTGAGAAGACATCTGCAGAGACTCAATGGTTTGCAGGACCAGGCTGCAGCTCTCTGTGTGTGAGAAACCCTTTCCCTGCTTCCAAGCTGCTCATCACCTGACAGTGACTTCTCATTTCATTGTTCTTGCATTCTTCATGCCATTTCACAACTAAGAACAAACGCCTCCTTTTTAAGAGCGGGAGGGTTCAGTGTAAGGGAGGAGGTAACACCCTTTAACCCAAACTGTTTTTAACAAATCTTTATTAAGCAACAGTATGTTTTTTAGAAAAGAGAACCAAACTCACTGTCAGTCCTGTTGTTCCTGAAACCATCGCAGCAAGGCAACTGCTGAAACATTTCCCCATTCTTCTTCCCTTGACACACTGCACACAAAGCTGTACATGACTCTGGGTTTATATCATCCTGATACCCACGAGTGACCCAGATCCCCTTGTGTCAGATACCGCACAGACATGTGGTCCTTGTGCTGACCATGCAGTGAGAAATCCTCCTCCATCCTGATGCACATGCAAACTTCCAGCCACCATATACCAGCAGGGCTTAGCCTGACCCACCCCTCATCTCAGGTGGTTGTAGCTTGTGCTCTGCACTCTAATTTCTAACTTTGGGGCAAACTCTGCTCTTGCAGAAGCCCCTTCTAATGCAGGAGCCAAGGGAAGAGCTCCCTTTGCAGCCCAGCAGGACCAGCCCTGCATTTTTCATTCTTGTAGCATGAAGATGCAGGACATATTTGGCTTGGCTCTTATTTCTCATTTGATTGGAAACAGCTCTAAATGAGGCCATGAACTTAAGGCATGCAGTTTATCTAGGGAAGTCCAGGACAAGGCTCCCAGGGGTCCTTTGCTCAGTACTGGCTCAAGTAAAAGGAAAAGATGAGCCAAATCCAGACCGTGTCTCTGCTTAAGGAGGACAGCAAGCACTCACAATCTCACCCTGCATCCATCAGAGACTCTGATGAGTCTGGCTAGCAACAATTTGAGCTGCTTGAGGGGTGCCAAACAGCTGCAGGGTTGCCTGCCATTCCCTCAAGCAGCAGGTGGGAAGTCAGCCTGCTACAGTCCACTTTTATCCTCTAAACTCCAAAACCACACAGCACATATCCTGCTTCCGCCCCAAGATTTACTCCCTTTGCCTTCTCACAGGATGTCCTGCCCCCATTATTTTTCTTTGGCAATGGAACTGTCAAAATATTTACTGGCTAAAATATTTATAATATATAATATACTCTAAAATGCAGCTGCTGACCCTTCTTTATAGCATTTACCCTTCCTGGAGATAACTGGAGAAGCCCTTTTGAAAGGAATGAGCTGGAAAGAAGAGTGAAAAACGCAGGAACGTGTCTCACAAGGGGCCCAGTCCTGCCTCTACTCAAGACCTTCAGCTGTGACCATACCTCATCCTCATAGACCACGAGCTGTGTTTTCCGTAGCTGGATGTAACGATCCTTCCATAATCCCAGGAGCCCCCCACTGCTTTTCTTAATCCAGCCGTATTTCTCTGCAGTCGGAGCAGGCTTTGGTTTCTCTGAGACTTCCTCCTTTGTATCCTGCAAGGACAGAGAGGAGAAGGAATTATATCAAATGCACTTTTCATCCATTTATTTAATCAACGTCCTCAGAAAGCCTGCCCAGAGAAGACCTCAGCAACCACCAAATGTCGTCCCTCCCCACCACATCACAAGGGAAAAGACCAGTATCTTCCAGACGAATACTCAACCAGCTCCCACAGGACATGGGAGTGAGCATGGATGCTGGCCACCCCTGGGGATACTGCTGGGATGCCAGCAAGACCACCTTGCTTCCCCAGTGGCTCTGCTTGCCTCTCTGGGGGGGTAGTCCCTGCTCACTTGTGCACCAAGCGTGCCTTGAAAACAAGCACGTTCCTCTCCACTTTGCTCCTCCACTTCTCTGATGAATCCCATTGGGATGGATCCTGCTGGCATCAGTGACAATGCTCTTATTTTAGTCCATGGCCACTTCTGCAAATGTCTCCTCTAGGTCTCTATGTTTGAACAATGCTCCCAGACCAACTCCTGTGGGCAAATCTATGGCATAGAATGGTTTGGGTTGGAAGGGCCCTTAAAGACCATGAGAGCCAGGACTTTATCAGAGTCACACTAAAACATCCCCAGAATGCTCCTGTGTGGTTTGTAGGCAGAGGGAAAGACCGGCAGAGAAGGCAGCACCAAGAGTGGGGTGGTTTTAATTGTCCTGCCTTTAGGTCCTTGCTGTTTGTCCCAGCCTGCTCTCATCTGCCTGCAGCAGCATGGGGAGCCCCAGCATCCTGCACTGGGAGGCTGCTGCCTTTCCAGGCCTGGTAAAAACCAGAAGATGGATAACTTCCCTGCTTTGAAAAAACATCAGAAATATCCAATATCAATATTCACGTCAAACAGAGACAGGAAACCTAAGGCGGGAGCAGGGGCTGATTAGCTGACTGCCTTCACCAGCAGTCTCGGCTAAAGCTCCGAGTTTTCCTCCTCCCCAGAACACTGGAAAAGCCTTTGCAATGGCAGGATCCCCTTTTCCCCTCCCTTGGAGCACCCTGCTGCTCCCAGCACCCCACAGACTCCTCAATAAGCCTCTTTGCCTGGAGTGAGGCGAAGGGAATCCCTCGCTGAGCCAAATCCTCTTACACGAACACCTCACCAACCTTGTGACTTGTAAGGAGAGGCCAACCCCAAACCCTCCAACCTCCTCCCAGGGAACCCACTGACCCCTCAGACTCCGTTTCCTCCACATCCCCATCTGTAACAGCAGCAATCGTGCTGCAGAAAGCCAGCACACCAACCATCCCCAAACAGCCCTCACTGGCTGCTGAATGAAACCTTTTCTCTTAGGAAAAAAACCCCAAACAAAACAAATTGGACTGGCTGGAGCTCAGACATCATGTTTCATAACATGAGGAAATCCCACATGCATGGAAAGGAGTCAGAGCTGGATGCTCCCATGGCCAGGACATAGTGAGTCTGTCAGATGAGCTCCAAAAATTGGGAGGAGAGCCTTGCTAAGAAATCTCTTTTCATGCACTAGAGCCCCAGTGAACACACCCTTGGACAGCAGCTTTGCTTGCTCCAAAGCGGGAGCTCACACCCATAAAAGGAGGAAAATCACATTAAATAGCCCCTGTACCCACATTTGCTCTGATCCCTGCTAAGGTCGGGAAGAGGCTTGGCTTTGCAGGTAGGCTCAGGAGCAGATTGGGAGCGAGAAACTCAAATAAATCATGTATCACCTAAGAGAAAACCAGGCGGAAACCTGTAACATCCTTGGTGCCATTTGTAGCAGTTATTTGTGTTTGAAACAGCCACAATACAGGATGACGGAGCACCAAGAAGTTTTCCAGGAAATGAGGGGGACTGTAGGGGGGTTTCTTTAAACTTGACTTTTTAGGTTGCCAGGAAGTTGTATTCAGTTGTGACCTGCGACTTCAGCAAACATCAACTGCTGCACAAATATAGACCTGCTGGTTTCCTGATCAAGCACCCTTTTGATGTCATTTTTAGACGGTTGAGCACAGACTTTAACCTCCCTCAGAGCAGTTCTGCATGGATGTAGCTGTACTAAGAGTTTATTCAAGTGACTCCAAACCAACAGCTGCCAAAATGTTCTTACTCCTTAAGGGGTTTTATTATTTTTTTTTTTGCTTGGCAGATGAATTCTTGCTGGGTTTTTTTTTTCCCCACCTGGCAAAAAGACTTTCTGAATTCACATGGCAAATACATCTATCCATGGCCTCTCCAGGTGCTCTGCAGAGAGAAAACTACCCTATCTCCTCCGGGTTTAAAATAAAAGTACTCCCTGTGAAGACACAGCACTTAACATCTACCTCTGAAAAAACAGCATGTCCCAGTAACAGTTTTTGTTGGAGCTGCACTTCTACACAAGGCAGAGCTGCAAAGCTAGAGCAGAGCTTGCCTAGCAGCCTCTGAGGCTGCCTGCTCCCCATGGGCTCTCCAGCCTTCTGAGGACATCACCTCTCCTCCATGGCACTGCAGGCTGATCTTGCAGCTCACCCTGTCCCCAGGTCACCCAGGAGCCCTGGATGGAGCAACCAGGGAGCCAGCACCCAGGAGCATCCACAGAGAGGATCTGTGACTCTGAGCCTCTGCCCACCCCAGCTGAGCAGCCCAGGAGAGGGAAGGTGAGATGAGATGGAGAGTGCTGGGCTCAGCAGGTGACAGCAGCCACAAGCAGAGGGCTCTGCCCCCAGCACTGCACAGGAGTGACCTGAGCCGGAGCTGCCTGGTGCCTGCTCCAGTCCCCACTACAAGATAGATGTGACCGAGCCATCTGTGTAAAAGCCCAGTTGATGCAACCTGACTGTTTGTTCCTCTGAAAGCAAAAAGAGTCTTGGAGATGGTGCCTGACACCTTTGCAGACTATTTTAATGCCACCTCTGCCTGGAATCGGCACGGGAAGGTTGGCCAGGGAAGGGCACCAAGATCAGGGCTTTGTGCCCACCCATTCTGCAACTAAAACCAGAGCATGGCCCAAAGAGATGAGTTGCTGTGGTTATACTTCCACAAGTACAGATGAGTTATCCAGCTATTCAGCTACTCGCTATTCCTTCCATGAGAAGCAGTAAGTAACCTGGGATGCTCTTGGGCTGGATTCATTCCTGATGCTGGTGTAAATCAATGAGAAGAAACCCCCTGACATCAGCTAAGTGTAAATGAAGGAAGAACTGAGTTATCCTGATGCTGGCTCATGCCAAAGGCATTGCTCCCAAAACCAATCCACAGGAGAAATTTTTGCAATTTCTATCACAGTGGCATTTTAAGCAATACAAGAATTTCAGACTGGTGATACAGAGATGACAAATCAGGGGGACAGGATGGCTTTTTACGTAACAATTAGGCAGTTATTTCTCCTCTTCCCCTCTACTTTAAGGGCCCACAACCCACATATTTTCGTGTTTTCCAACACAAAACCAACCTGACAGTTGGATCATGGAGATGCTTTTACAAGTTACAAATAGTGCCCAGAAGTATCTCACCCAGTTACAGCAACTTCACTCAAAGTGAGCAACTTGTGGACCACACACTCCTCTCTAGCAAGGCGCTGATGAACACCTCCCAGGAGACAACCTTCATCTCCAGACCTCCACTGTTTTCCTCCTTTTCCACATTCCCTCCAAGCCCGGCTGTTTGACTTCCACTTCTCTCTGACCCAGGGAAGCAAAACTGTCTTAGTGGAAATAAACTGCTCAGATCCACGTGAAACTTGGGGAACTGCATCTGACACCCCCTCCCGCATGCAATCACTGGAGAACTCATTTATCATTAATGAAGAGTGGACGGTGAGATGTTGGTGGATGCCGGGGTGGGGGTGAAGCCCCTCTGGCCACTGGCTGCCAGTTGGAAGCAGTTTCTCTGCTGTGGATTAATTTCATGGATGCTGGTGGATAACAACTCTCGGTTGCTACCTACTTGGGCTGCTTTGCCCAAGTTTAAATCCCTGTTTTATAAATGCTCTCATTCTTGTCACAGAATGTTGGGAGCTGGAATAATGGGAAGGGGGGAGGGAGCCAAGCCACAGCTATCAGCTTCACATGCACTAGAGGCTGAAGTCCTGCAACAGACCACCCTACCAGCAGCTTGCTTTGTGCATGAGCAGCAAAACCTCATTTAAGGAAAGGAAGCAGGAATAATTGCATGGCCAGACAAGGGGAGAAAACGACCTGTTCGACTCACTAACAAATTTGTGGTGTCTTAATCCACACAGGGATGGATTACTGGGGTGTGAGCCCATGGACGTGAAAATCTACATGTGTAGAAGCACTGCTGCCCTTCTCCGAGTTAAACCCGTCCCAGGCAGACACGGAGGAGGAGGACAGACTTGGGGAAGGCTGCTAGGTATGTGGCCACGGCCAAGCTTGCGGTCTGACCGAGGCCCAGCTCCAGCACGGAAGTACAACACCCCAGCAAGAGTCAGCAGAAGGTGGCCTGAGCAAGCGTGGCACTTGAACAAGCCCGACTCTGCCAGCACTCGTCCTCCGGCAGCGCCAGCGTTCGCCCGGCAGCCTCGCCCGGCCGGCTGGAAAGTTTAAATCCCAAGAGCTCCCGGGATGCTCAGCCGGGCCAGGGCTGAAGGCAAAGGGGGGGGTGCTTGGGAAAAGGGACCCCCATCATCTGCATCCCCATTTCTGCCCCCACCGCCTCCC